TGACAGTCGAGCTGCCCGGTCTAACTACTCTGACAGTCGAGCTGCCCGGTCTAACTACTTTGACACTCGAGCTGCCCGGTCTAACTATTCTAACAGTCGAGGCTGCCTGGTCTAACTATTCTGACAGTCGAGCTGCCCGGTCTAACTACTCTGACAGTCGATCTGACAGTTGAGCTGCCCGGTCTAACTACTCTGACAGGTGAGCTGCCCGGTCTAAATATTCTTACAGTCGAGCTGCCCGGTCTAACTACTCTGACAGTCGATCTGACAGTTGAGCTACCCGGTCTAACTACTATGACAGTCAAGCTGCCCGGTCTAACTACTCTGACAGTCGAGCTGCCCTTGCCATTAATCGATATGTCAGTGTCATTTAATCACCCTGGTTATAAGGCACATTTTTTTTTAATTTTAATTTTTTAATCTACTAACAGATTAAAACTGGGCCAAGTTCTCAAGATGTTTCAAGAATGAAAATCAACAAAGGGTCTCAGTTTACTTGACAGATTCCCCAAATAAAGTAGGCTTCCTTGTTACTTACAACGATTTGCTTTCGTCAGTGCTGCCACTTAAAATTGTACAATAATTGCTCACTCTACAGAAATGTTCTTAAATATATGCCAAGTCCCATGAAACACTAGAAAATTACATTATTTTTTTTTTAAATCAACCTTTAAGTTTGATTTTTTTTTAATGACAGCCTGATCCCTTATCAAGGTGTGAAAAATAACAAAATGTTAACAGGTGTGTGGTACACGATAACTTAACTGTTGTGTGGTACACGATAACTTAACTGTTGTGTGGTACACGATAACTTAACTGTTGTGTGGTACACGATAACTCAACTGTTGTGTGGTGCACGATAGCTCAACTGTTGTGTGGTACACGATAACTCAACTGTTGTGTGGTACACGACAACTCAACTGTTGTGTGGTGCACGATAGCTCAACTGTTGTGTGGTGCACGATAACTCAACTGTTGTGTGGTGCACGACAACTTAACTGTTGTATGGTGCACGATAGCTCAACTGTTGTGTGGTACACGATAACTCAACTGTTGTGTGGTGCACGATAACTCAACAGTTGTGTGATACACGATAACTCAACTGTTGTGTGGTACACGATAACTCAACTGTTGTGTGGTGCACGATAGCTCAACTGTTGTGTGGTGCACGATAGCTCAACTGTTGTATGGTACACGATAACTCAACTGTTGTTTTGTGCACGATAGCTCAACTGTTGTGTGGTACACGATAACTCAACTGTTGTATGGTGCACGATAACTCAACTGTTGTGTGGTGCACGATAACTCAACTGTTGTGTGGTACACGATAACTCAACTGTTGTGTGGTACACGATAACTCAACTGTTGTGTGGTGCACGATAGCTCAACTGTTGTGTGGTGCACGATAACTCAACTGTTGTGTGGTGCACGATAACTCAACTGTTGTGTGGTACACGATAACTCAACTTTTGTGTGGTACACGATAACTCAACTGTTGTGAGGTACACGATAACTCAACTGTTGTGTGGTACACGATAACTCAACAGTTGTGTGGTACACGATAGCTCAACTGTTGTGTGGTACACGATAACTTAACTGTTGTGGGGTACACGATAACTCAACTGTTGTGTGGTATACAGTATCTCAAAGAATAAAGTACCCTGCTACTGTAACAATTTTGTGAAAGTACCCTGCTACTGTAACAATGTTTTGAAAGTACCCTGCTACTGTAACAATGTTGTGAAAGTACCCTGCTACTGTAACAATGTTGTGAAAGTACCCTGCCTCGATACTGGGGGTTGTTTTTTTACAAATTAATCATTACCAACTATGGAAATTATGTAAAAGAAAGAGAGAAAGAAACAAAGAAAGAAAGAAGGAAAGAAAGGAAGGTCGAAAGAAAGAAAAAGAAAGAAAGAAAGAAATATTAAAATTCAAGTGAACATTTACTATTATTACACATTACACCTTCTAGCACGCCCTCCTCCCCCCCACCCATAACTTCCTCTCACCACACCTTCCAACTCTCTCTACTTCTGTCTCTCTCCCTCCACAACTTCGTCCACCGTTAGCTCATACTCTACATCTTTTTTTCTGAATTCTCAACATTTTTTTAAAGTCCCATCATGTGTGTAACTGCTCTCGTTGCAGAGTCTGTCCTGCTCCTCTCTCCCTAAGAGATTAAACCGGCCTTCGGCTATAGGGAGACTCCAACCTAGCATTAAAGTGGCCTACTTTCTTTACCACTGGGAAGTACGTTAATTGGAAACTGAGCCTTCTCCGTCTCTACTTCTATTTTGTTGGCCGCCTTTGATTCGTCATCCTGGACTCTGGCGTCCTAATTTCTGGATAATCGAACATTCTGCAGCACCGAGTCTAAATCCTTTTTCTTTTTTTTAAAGCATGGTTATAACATTCTCAAAACTTCAAGCAAAAGTTTTAAAAAAATTTTCTATTTTTTTTTCCGAAGTGTTGGGGGGGGGGGGTTTGGGTATAGACTTAACAATCAAATCGTTCTGAGACCAGCCATCGTTCTGAGACCAGCCATCGTTCTGAGACCAGCCATCGTTCTGAGACCAGCCATCGTTCTGAGACCAGCCAGCTCTCGCCATAACTTGATCACATCGTCAACCGAGTTCTCAAATGTTTGATATGTAACTACACAACGCTCTATTCATGTAACTACACAACGCTCTATTCATGCAACTACAC